TCTGACATTGCAAACGGTGAATTGAAATATGAAGTTTTCTGCACTCGTTTTTCATCCCTGGAAAGTACGTATATTTTATACTTGGCTACCATGCTAAATTCTTGTTTAATCTGTTAACAGTTTCCTAAAGATGTTAAATGTGTAGTTTTACATCATCAACTTCAACACGATTGCGTCCGAATTTTTTTATTGTTATTGCCTTCCTTTTTTATTTAGTTTTTTATATTATCTTATTTTAATTTATTGTATTTTTTTCTTTTTTCTTTTTTTGATTTATTTATTATCTTTTATCTAACATTTTTGACTCTTTTAGAAGAATTCCAACTAATCAAATGTAATTAATTTGAATCGGGTATTTTAAATTTAAATTTAATTTTTTTTCGCAATCAAAGACAACCGATAAATTAATTGGTACCGAAAGGGCGGTTCAAGGGTGCTAATCCTTCCTTGACTGTAACCGACTCCCGAATCCGACACATCTTTGGTAAGATGCAGATCAGGTAAGAAATAAGGTATCTGATCTACCTATTTAATAAAATAAATGATCGGTGGCGACTCTAACCCCATTTTTCCTAAGTCGAAGCCCAATTCCGGGCCCAACCGAAAGACGGTTGCGACAGAATCTTATGTGTTCTGGTGAAGGCCATGGAGGACGAATCTTGCTTGGATTTGTGGGAGATGGCGTTGTTTGCTGCATAAGTTTAACAGAGAGGAAACGATGCTGCTGAATAACCTTGTTTGGGTGGCCAGAAAGCGTGGGAATGAGCTAACAACATGGCTTGATCCTTGAGCGGAAAGCATTTTGATTTTTTTTTTTTTGTACTATTGCATCGCACACGTGACTTTGACTTTGTTGGTGCCTCTCAATAAAGATTTTCTGCATTCAAGGCATTTTGATTATTATCCGCAGGCAACGTTTGGCGGCTTACAACCAAAAGATTTATTTTAGGCTTAATGCTCAATAAGTGGCCAAATTATAGTGTTAAATAAGTGTCAATATTTTTTTAAATCATTCGAGTATCTTATATTATAAATGTGACCTTTTTTAAGTGTCTGAGTGATTAACACAGCTAGTTTTAACAGTTAAGTAACACATGTTATGATATGGTAATTTTAAATTTTATTTTTTTATAAAAAATATAAAAAATATTATTATATTTATAAAAAAACTATAATTTTTCTTATATTATAAAACAACCCAAAATCCCAAATCTTAACCTTAATCCGTTGTCGCCGCCTTCTCCGGCCACGACCACCGTCGTCGACATAGTCCTTGCCATTATCCTAGTTATATGCTTCCATAATTGTCGCCGATTCACCATCGGAATCTCGTGAGATCATAATTTTCATCCTAGGTTTCGTGGATTTAAAACGTCGATTTATCGTCAATCAGTCATCAAACTGGTCACGATTTCATAGGAGTTTTGGTCGCCGGGGGGAGGGGAGGTCGGGTGGAGCTTCTTCGAGTGCAAAGGCTGGCGGTCAGCAGTCGGTGCAGGTTTAGGGGTTGAAATGAAGGTTTTCAAAGTTTATGGGTTATTTCAAAATTTATGTGTTCTTTTTTAAAAAATATATAATTTTATATTTTTAATTTCATATAAAAAATTTAAAATTACCATATTGTGACACATGTCACTTAGAGGGAAAAATAACACCGTTAACGGCCTGGACACCTAAAAGTGTAACGTTTGTAACGTTAGGTACCCGGATGAAAAAAAAAACATAGGCAGTTACTTGGCAAAAAAGCATAGTTTGGGCATTTATTTTGGCATTAAGCCTTTATTTTATGATGCAATCTATAATTTTCTTTTACAAATCAAGATCCATATTTGGAATTTTTCAAAAGCTACCGAAAATTTTCTAAACTAAAAGGAACTAATTGATCATAGAAGAATATTAGAAAAGAAGGATAAACGGCTGAAATAACCACTTTTATTTTATAAGTGTTCATTTTTATCATTAAATTTAAAATGGTAACGTTTTGATAGCTTATGTTATTCATTTGTAATTTTTTTAATTATTTATATTATTGATTTATAATATTTTAATTATTGGATGTTAAATGTCGTTAGTTTGGAAATGTAGCATTTAATAAAATGGGTTAAATTTTGATTTGACCTTTAAACTTTGGATAAAATTTTAATTTAACCCCTAAAATAGATAAAATATCAATTTGACTCTGGAAATTTAGATATAAAATCGATTTAACCAATGAATCTAACCAAAGTCCCTTTACTTCGGTCATCACTTACTACCCTCATCGGTCAATGCTGATCATCATCAATTGACAGTTAAATTCCGAAATTTTTAATTCATTAATTTTTTTTATCTCTTGAACATGAATCTAATGTTCATTTCAACCAAAAAAAATACCATAAACTTTACAAATCTAACAGAGAACTCTCGACTTCCTTGGAATTACATAATATAAAATTTGTGTTCTTCCCCAGTTGCGAGATCAGCTGGAAAAGGTCCATGGCATAACGGGGGTGTACTCTTACCATTCGAAGGCAGTATTGTATTGTTTAGGTGGCCATCAGGGACAGACTTGCAACAAAGGCAATGACTGCTTGGGGAGCTCAAGTTACATATGATTGGCTACCCCAATCTGCTATTAAGGACAAATTTGTTGTTTCATTTCGTTTGTACCTTTTAATTAGCATGTCGTTTAGTATTAAATTACATTAGTAAAATAACGTAATCAAATTATAATATTAACATAAGGTATTAAAGGAGTCGCATCATGATTTTTGTGAATTGAGAAAGAAATTAGAAATTTCATTAAAAAGATCAAACAATGTATCGATAAGACAAAGCATAAGCTAAAATGCAAAGATACAAAAGGAATAAGAGGTAAAACCAAGTTCCAGGTCAATCTAAATTTGGATTAAACAAATTTGAATAATCGTTGATTTTCATGATCAAATCGAGTTGGATCGGATTTAAACTCAAATGGGTTTGGTCAGATTTTCAAGTTTGAGCCATCACCTACGAGAAAACACAGATAGACAAAGAAAGAAGAACAGGAAGAAGGACGAAGACCGTCTTCTTCACTTGTACATCACCACATTCCTCTTCGGGTATGGGCTTCAATCGAGGACAACTCTTAGATTTATGGTGAGATATTATGAGAGGTGGCGTTACTTCTTCCAATTCTTGCATGTATCTAATATCCTTTGCCATTGTTGTTTTGCAGGAGAATGAGGCTTTTGGTGTTAACCTGGGAATTTGTATTGAGATTGGGAGATGTATGTTGAATCAAATTGCTAAAAGATTTGGATTATTTATTTATGTTTTAATGGGAGATTGAAACTATAAGGTAGGTAGTAACGCATTATGTTTGTTTGAGTAATCCATAATAAATGCAAAGGACAGATAATTCTATGTAATGTAATGAACATGGACAGTTAAATTTCAGACAAGTCAAAAAGTGAATTATAGGCTGTTGCTAAAATTAGGACCCTCAGAAGGGGAAAAGTGAAAAAGAAGACAAGAATATATGGATTACATCAGATGTATGTTTGTCAACAGATGATTACATGACGGAAAGGGGCCGTTCTTCCCTTGTAAAAACAGGTTGATGAAAAAGATGTCAGCTGGTGATGGATTTTGGAGTAACTCCTTCTCCATGTTGATTTCCTCTTCTTCATGAATGGTCTCTAGTGGTATATGGATGTTGAGCCTATGTTCGGAGATGAACTGGGCCGGCACGACGGCGGAAAAGGGAGTGAGAGGTGGTGGAGAAACTATGCAGGGGGTTTGTTGGAGAGTGGAGACAGAGATGATATCAGCCATGAGGAAATTATGGTAACTTGAATGAATGAATGTGAACAAATGGTGAATTCCATGCTTGATTTATATACAAGTTGTAAGAGGTTGGGATCTTTAGCCGTGGGGTTTGGGTCTTAAATGCAAAGTTTGGAGCTTTGTTTGCAACCCCTTTTTTGCCTTTTTGGTACGGATAAAGTTGGTTTTTGGAGGTATCTGAATCGGACATATCAGGCGAATGGCTTTAGGTCATTGCCCTCATGGGAACGGCACCGGTGAAGATAATACGGTGACGGCTCCTGCATTGATTTTGGCGGTGTTTTGTTCAAACAAGCTGCTGATGACCAGCTATCAGGTTTTATGTTATTTTGTGTGTTATAAAAATATTTATTATAAAATATTATCAGATAAAAGATCTATGATCTTTCAGTTTCTTCAGGATTTTTCCATTGAGACATATTTGGCGTTTTGTTTCCATTGTTTGCCTTGGTAGACACGGCACATGTCTTCCATACGCGTTACTACAGCAAGAGATAGGGGACTTCAGCCGTGGTACTGCAGCTAAGCTTTCGGTCTTAAATGCCAAGTTCAGAGTTGTGTCTTCAACCTACTTTTTGAATTTTTATTACTGATAAAAGACTGAAAGGTCAGGTCAATCAAACCCCAAAAGCTGGTATTTGGTGGTATCTGGATCGGACGTATTAGGCAATTGGCATTCGGTTTCTGCCGGACGTATTAGACAATTGGCTTTCGGTTTCTGCCCTCATGGATACGGCACAGGTGAAGATAACACAGCAATGGCTGCTCTGCTTTCGCCGTTGTTCTGTTCAAACAAGCTGCTGGTCGTATCAGCTATCAGGATTTTGTTGTTTTATGCGTTCTGTGTTGTGGAATGTGCTCTCTGGCATATGCTGGAAAATGCTTGAACCTATTAAAGATTCAATTCAGTAAGTCCTGCAAGTTCAACACCCGATAATTTAGGATTTGCATGTTTAAGCACGCTTAAACATTTGAATAAAACATAACAAACGTGGGATAACACCACTTAACATAATCGTTAATCTCGAAAAATAAAACTACTTGCATTACTTAAGATGTTCTTGGAACCATACATTAAAGAGTTTGTAATTTTAACTCATCCTCCTCCTTCTAAAGAGACTCTGCTATGCGCTAGAAACTTCATTATAGATCCAAAGATCATATATCTTGATAGAAGTACAACATGCATGACATTTTCGACGATTTCAATATTTCGGAGCCGGCTGCTGGGTCGGCAACAATCCAAAACGCTTCTTCAAAAGAACTCTCTGTCTTGAAAATTTGTCATCAGGGGAGAAACGGGCTGCATAAATGTTGGTAAAAGAGAAAAAGAAACAATCATCAGAAAAAAAATTACAGTACTTGTGAGTAAGATTTTTGTGCAACTTTCAACAAAATTTCCTAATCCTATTAACTTCAACACAACCAGAAAAAAGATCATATAATAGCCTAACAAGTGCAAGCCAATGTTATCACCCGTTACTGTCGAGTGCCACTGAAGACATGAAGAGGTACCAACTTGCCAATACATGACAAATAAGAGGTACCTTTTGCTCAGAACTCATAACACTTACAATTCTCAACCACAATAGACATCTTGTGCTGAGTTCAAATCAAGGCCGACAAGACAAGAAAAATGTAGATCAAAGAAGGTAATATGAATGCACGTGTGTATATATATATATGTATGTATGTATGCATATATATTTATTGATATACACATATATATGCATCAATAGGAACCCAGGTCAAACATAAGATGCAAGACAGAAAGGAAATATATGATTCAGGCCATATTACCCGGATGAGCAGACTGAGTAGGCAACCCCAATGGTGATTCTTTCTGCACACAAAGTCGATGCAAACGTAAACATAGAGAAATAACTAATGAAATATTCATTATCCATGAATCAGAAACCTTAAAATATTGCTATAACAAGATCATATGATGGTGACCAGTCGACGTTCGACGGCAGTGCAGAGATTAAAACTTAAGTACTGTCTGGAACTTCGATGCATTATATAACAAGTTTATTCAGCCAGAAACACCCTAAATTATTATGGAAATGTAAACATATCCTACCAATAAGTTCTTAGCTTCCGCAGAGAACCTCGATTTCCAAAATAAAACAAAGGGTTAAACTTCAAAGTGAAATTTCTGAAGAAGGTTTCAGTTTCAGTACACACAAGATTGACCTTCCCACAGTCTCAAACACCACAAACAAAACATGTAAAGGAATTTCTACATGCCTAAGAATGTTCATCTGTAGTTTTACCTAATTATCAATGGAAAGAGATCATGGGTCAATGGGATTTACCTTAGTGGTGTAAACTTTGTCTCCATTCTCGTTTATGTAAAACTGGAGATACATCTTATACAATCAAAAGAGAAGCAAACTGTCAAAAAAGAAGAAGGAAATATTAGAACTTTCATGAAATTAAACGAAAACCCAGAAAGAAAAACTAGGTATAGAAAGGAAATTGTGAACCTTTTTATGGAGCTGCACCTTCTCTGATGGAGGCTTGGGGAAGCAACTAAAGGGAAAGGAAATTTAGAGGCTTTCTAGGGTTTACTCTTTGCAACTGTGACTCTGTGAGGGGTGATGGACCATTACAGGCTTAATGAACACAAGCTGAACTTGTAATTGGGCCATAAGTATAGAGAACCTCATTGATTCTATACTTATCGAGCCATCCTTGAAGAATATAGGGATAAGTAAAATTTAATTCGATTTGAAAAATCAATTCAATTTAAGTTTTATATATTAGATTTAATTTTAAAATTTTAAAATAAAATTTAAATTATAAGATATGTCTCGTCAATTCAAAATTTAATAGATTTTTAAAGAATAATAATAATTTTTTTATTATCGAAGTCTTTTGATTTCTTCGAGATCTTGTATTTCTAAAAAGAATGATAAAAAGAAGAAAATATGGTGTCAAATCCTTATTTGAAATTTTATAGTAATCTTTAACATTAACGTCAAATATAAAGTTACAATGACTACTCGTATATGAAAAATTTAATAGATGTGATTAACGATAATTAACATTAACGTCCAAGTTTCTTCTCATGTCGGAGAAACAAACACGTAAGGCAAAATAATAAATTATTTGAGAGAGTCTTGCCATGCACGTAACCAAGTTGCCCTTTCACCACTCCACAAAGGCAACAAAGGACGAGGCAAACCAAATAGCAGATGGCACCAAATAAGAAGATGGCCGGTTGAGCTCATAAATCTGCGAATTCAAAGCAATCAATGATCCCCCAACAATTTTCATATCTACAAAAAGGTCCCCCACTGTGTACTTTATCTCTTTAGATCTTGTTTCTGAAACATCACTTTTGCAAATTAACATCAAAAAGTAAGTGGCGGCACTATGAGGTAATTTTTCTTCATTAATGAGAGACAACGACCATTCTCTCAATTTAAGCCAAGCCATGTTCTTATATAACCCTCACCTTAGCTCTTACCTTCTGCATATCCAAATCTCTTACAGAAATCTGTTACATACATGGTGAATTTGCTAATCCATAGGTTCACCTCTGAGGTTGCTCCGCCGTGGTTTATCACCGTGATGAGGAAAAGAACGATGACGATGTTGGACACTATTACTGAAGAGGATAGAGATGACAGCTACACCGATACTTTAGTCCCTGCGGCTCCTGCTGCTGCTGGTTCATCGTCTTCAGCCACCACAGTGACGGCTGACTCCATATGTTTTTTTCACAGGAGTGTCAAGTTTTTCGATTTTTGATAACTAGAAAACTATGTATTGAAGATGTATCTTCAATTCATTTTCCAGTTTTGTTTCTTCTTTAAACCCTTTCTTCCTTCTTCAACAAGGTATTGGACAGATGACCACTGACCTAGACTTTTGTTGGTCTATATGCGTGTGCAGAGACAGTAATTTTGATTAATAAAAACTTTTGAGTTATATAAGCAACGATATCAATCAAATTAATATTAATTATTATTGGTGCGTGTATTTAGTCCTCGAAAATTCGTGCATGTCATTCAATCTACTCAATCAATTTAGTCCACATTAAATTTTGGTAATGAACCGATTTCATAGGTTCCACGTCCACCTCTTCTGCTCTCTTTCTATTATTCCCGGCCCCCATTAATCATCCAGCATTGTTTCTTCTTCCAATTTTAATCTTCATTAATAGGATATTAATGTTGTTGAATTTGATAATTTTTTGAGGAGGAAAAGGAAATGAGGGTGTCTAAGTCTCAGTCAGATATGGCAATCATGAAAGAAGAGGTGTCCTTGATCAATAGCAAGCTTTAGTTGTAACACACAAACAAAAAACGAACGATGGCGACTCGGACGAATTCGAATAGCGGGATACGTGTCGGGAAGTACGAGCTAAGGAGGACGTTGGGAGAAGGAACATACGCAAAGGTGAAATTCCTGGCTGAAGAGGGCGTAGCAATCAAGATTATTGATAAAAAAATAAAGTTTCCAAGCATAAAATGACTGCTCAGGTAAATATTTTCTTTTTTTTTTAACGTTTCAATTCACTGATTTATTCCCAGTTAATTCTTTGTCCTCTGCAGTTTAAACGTGAAATTTCAACCACGAAGCTCATTTGACACCCGAATGTCATCCGCATGTACGAGGTAATGTCTAGCAAAAGGAAGATTTACATCATGCTGGAATTTGTCACCAGTGCGAACTTTTCGACAAAATTGTAAGATAGCAACCAAAACAACTATGTTTCTTCATCGGTGTTTGAATACGAAATATATAATTGGTGTAGATTATTAATGCTGTAGATTATTGCCATAGCAGAGGTGTTTACCATAGAGATCTTAAGGTGTGGGATACAGTTTTATTATGTTCAATAACCCCTTTGCCTTGTGAATTTATCTGATATAGTGGATCTGTCTTCTGTCATTTGCAGCCTGAGAATTTGCTTCTAGATTCTAAAAGGGTGCTTAAAGATTCAGATTTTGGTTTGACTGTTTTATCGTAAAAGTTCGCGTTAGCACGTCGTCTTCATGTCTTATGACATTTCTCTGTGTGTGTGTGATAATATACATACAACATCTTATCCTTTTTGTGTCGGAGGACGGTTTACTTTACACAACATGTGGAACACCAAATTATGTTGCTCCAGAGGTAAGACGTGGTTCATTCTCTCCGCAAAAACGGTTGATCGGCTTTCGTTGTAAACCAGATTCCTTTTCTTACTGGTCCGTTTATCTTTGATTTCTAGGTGACAAAAATAAAGGGTATCATGGAGCTAAAGCAGATGTGTGGTCATGTGGTGTTATACTCCGTCTTAATGGCTGGTTACCTGCCTTTTGATGACTCCAATTTGATATGTCTGTATAGTCAGGTACTTATTCCCTCCATGTCCGTCTCTCGGAATTCTTAATCCCCTACCGAGCCAGAATTCGGAAATATAAATAAGAAAACATATGAACACATACAAGCACAGAAAACAGACACCTGCGATGTTTGTATTTACACAGAACAATGCTGTCATGCTGGTGACCAATTTGATTTATGTCTTCTAAAGGAGTTCCCTGTCTGCCTGCAGATATTCAAGGCAAACCTCAATTTTACTTCATGATTCTCGCCAGGTGCAAGGGTCTTAATCAAGAGCTTTCTCGATCCTAATCCGTCGACCGTATGTGACTTTCTCCTTTTACTCGTGTTTTCGATGTTCTCTTGAAGGTGTATGCAGATATATAGGCTTCATTCTTCATTTCTTTGTGATTAAACCAGAGGATAACAATCTCCGAGATTCTCGAGAACGAGTGGTTTAAGAAAGGATATATAAACCGCCAAGGTTCGAGCAAGCCGATGTTACCCTTGATGATCCCGATTCCTTTTTCGGTGTGTTTTTCTCACATATGGAATGTGGTTTTGTAGTGTTGGTGGTGGTGCAAATGGTATGATGAGTCTGTGTGCATGATTTCGGTAGCAGTATTCTCAAAACCTCGTTTTCGAATGGCGGGAAGAAAGGCCTGCACTACCTATTACGATAACGTATGAAGAATGATTAACATCCCACAATGTCCGGAAATTAATATATAATCAATTAATTATTGTTTTTGCAATGAAAAATTAAGAATTCAAATCTAATTTAATTAACGATCTCCTTTAACTGAATAAATACAACGCTATTTAATCGATTAAAATTTTAGAGAAAAAAGTTAACAATTCGTTGCATTTAACTGAAGAGAATTAGTTACATAATATGAAGTAGTACGACGTCCGTCTCTTTTCCAACCAAAGCAGTGAATTGCCAATATTTATTCTCGAGAATTTAAAGATTCAAATTAGTAATTTTAATAAAAAATAAATTAAACATGAAAAAGAAAATAAAAAAGAATTAAATTAAGGCAGAATAAATAAAATAAAGGAAGCAAACGCATGACAAGAATTAAATAAGTTTAAAAGGAAATTAAATTAATAAAATAAAAATGTAAAATGAGTAAAACAAAATCTAATTAAGTTAAATGAATAAAATTATAAGACGGTAATTCACAAATCAGCATGAAATTAATGGAATTAAAAAGGAATTAAAAAACAAAACGTAAATTAAATAAATTTAAAAAAATGCAAAATGAACAATAAAAAATGAAAAGTTAATTCGAAATAAATTAAGACTAGGTTATGGGAAGGAGACCCTAAACAATTAAAAACAATTTTAAAGATTCATGGAAACAATTATCTTTTATCTGTGTAAAAACACATGGATTCCATAAATATTCGAATTGGTTTATCAGCTCATTCAATTGAGTACAAATTACAAAATCTTAAAATACTGATTCGTTTTTCCTTAAAAAAATCTCACTAAAGATCCACTGTCGTTCTTCGTTAAGAAACCTAAAGGAAGGCTAAATCTAAGAAGATTCAACGGAAAACTTTTTTTCTTGTTCATCGAGTTTCTCTTTTTCAATGTGATTTTCAAATAAAAGTAAGTTTGAAATTGATTGAAACAATAAAAACAAAAGAAAAAAAAAGAATTTGTCAATATCCACCGAGAAACCTCGAGGAAGACTATTTAAGAAAATATATTCGAAATTTTTTTCTCGTTCTTTGATTTCTTCTCATTCTATGGAATTTTCACAAAAGTAAAATAGCAAGAATAAAATAATAAATAAATAAATAAGACTTACATTTGATTAAAAATTCTATTTTATACTTTGTGTTTTCTCAACTTACAAATCTTATGGTGGTTTTCTTTTTTCTCTTTTTTTTCTCTAAAAAATTGCTCCCCTTTACATAACATTTGTAACATCCTCAATACCGGGTTAATGATTAAAGTGTAAGATTTTAAAATTCAATGACCAAATTAGATAAATTGAAAAGTGAATAAATTATTTGAAATGTATTGTGTAGGATGATTTAACAAATGAAGGAGAAGGAAAGGGGCAAAAGGGTCATTAAACAAAGGAAATAATAAAATAATAATTAATGAGTATTATAATACCCATGTGGAGCATATGTTTTGGGAAACAAGTTCCAGACAATTATCTTCTTCATCTTATTCTCTTCTCCAACGTGAAGCCACAAGCCAAGGTAAGTTTGATTTATTTTGGTTAATCCTTAAAATTCAAGAGTGGGTTTTGATTAGGGATGGCAACGGGCCGGGTTCGGGCCGGGTATTGGTCCCCCCGTCCCCGTCCTCGTTTAAAAAAACCGTATCCGTCTCCACTTAAAAAACAACGGGGATTTAAATGTGGATCCCTATCAGGTAATCAGGGAAAACCGCGGGGAAACATGTATCCCCATTTAGCATAAACAGTTATTTAAACGGGTATCGGGCTGGGTATATATATTTAAATTAAATATATAAATATTATATATATATTTTTTAATTTAAATTAAATTTATTAATATTATATATATATATAAATAATTATTATTATTTTTAATATTTTTCGGGTCGGGTATCGAGCTGGGTAATCGGGTAATCGGGGCAGGGATTACTAAACCCGTCCTCATCCCCGTTTAGCATAAACAGTTTTTCCCCATCCCCATTTAGCATAAACAATTTTTTCTCGTCCCCGTTTAATTCAGTTTTTATTTTTTCCCGTCGGGTTCGGGTTTTTTTTGCAATCCCTAGTTTTGATCCTTAGGTGATACTTAAGCTTAAGGAAAACTTAAGTTGTCTTATAATCAAAAGATGAAGAAGATATGAAAGATTAAAGAGAATGGGTTTCAAAGTGAATTTCTGAAAAAGAGTTAATAAATGAACTTTGAGATGGAATTTGACTTGTCATCAATATGAATAAGAAGCTATAAGTGTTGGAATTAAGTTTGGATAACATGGAAAATTTGGTATGATTCTTAGCTTTAAGAATTTGGATTAGATGTGGAAGATAATAAGGTATTGAAATGAAAAAAGTTAGTTAAAATGGTTGTAGTTGAGTTTAGTGGCATGAAAGGAGTTTTATACGAGGAAATTTAATGAAAAGTTGTGGAATTTTCGGGTGAAACCAGTTTATTATTAACAGGTGCATCGATACACTATGAATGGGTACCGATGCATTAAGACCAATTTTGGTTCATTAAATTAGCCGAAGTTATTAATACCAAGTTATCAAGTTTAGGCTTCTGAAAATCGTCTCGGAATTTATGTTTATGTAGATATCGAGCCTAAATGAGTTCCGGAACAAGTGACAAGTAAGATCGATCGAGGAAAAGGCAAGGAAATATATGTTAGTGCATATGCATAACATGGTTATAATAGCCTACTAAACTCTAGACTTGTGATAAGTCTAGTTCCAATATCATTGGTACATGAATGCATTCCATAGTATGATACATGACATGAGTTCATATTATATGCATTATGTGACATGAATATGCAGGAAAAGTTATATGAGCTACGTGATAAAGGTATGGAAATGATATGTCTATGAGATACACTATGTGAATTATGAAAACCCATGTTATGTAGATGAGAACTATATTTATAGTTGGCATGCCAATAGTAGAGGGTCTACGCGGTCATTCGGGACAATTCTACGTGGTTATTCGGGACATATATGTATTCTTTGGAACATGTATGAGGTCTTTTGAGACGCCTACTTGATCTTTGGTATATGTATATGATTCTTAAGGAATTTCTATGTGGTCCTTATGGACAATCTTATATGGCACTACGGTGCAATTCTACGCGACACTTCGGTGCAAATTTCTACGTTGTCCTTCAGGACAAATTCTACGTGGCACTTTAGTGCAATTTATATGAGCTGTGGTGACAGCATAGTGCACAACCTCACAGTACTCACATACCTCAGGTTCTCAGTATTGTATAATGGGCTATTGAACTTATTATATTAATTCATGATGGTTCATTTGATCAGATTATGGGTAAAATACATGATTATGCAATTTGCATGGATTGAATATATGATTTTATGATATTGCATTTCATTATGACATTTTCATTATATTTTATTGTCATTATTATTATGCCTCACTAAGTCGATGACTTAGCGTGTGAGTGTTTTACACGTAGGATCATAAAAATAGACAAGCAATGTTAGACAGCTGGGACAACATTTCTCCTACAACTATCAGATCAGAAGAAACTTAAACAATATGTCTTATTATGTGATAAATAGGTTGGCATGTAAACAAAGTCGGTAAATTAAGTATTTATGCTCTGATCGAGTTTTGTAATGTTTTAAACGTATTTATGTAAATGTAACTATATAGCGATGAAAGGTTAAATTTTTACGAGTTTTATGTACGTTTTACGAAAGTTACTATAGCAGTGCATCGATATACAATTTATATTCGATATTTTTGTGCATCGGTACATTGTAGTAGTGCATCGATACACTGTAGCACTGTTCACGGTACTATTTAGTACGGTTCACGTACTATTCATACCATATAGTATTGTTCATAAATACATTTTTGCCTTAACTTTTTATAATGAAACATAATTTAATAGTATATTATTATATTTTCTTAATATGAGTTCAAATATTTTGTTATTTTGTAAGAATATTATTTCAAAAAGTTAATGTGACATCTCAGACTCGTATCTGGGTCGGGTACGGGCTGGGGTGTTACATTTAATGGTATTAGAGCTATGATTTAGTCGATTATTTTCATAAACCGAAGTTTAGAATGTCTTATAATGTATACATGCCAACAAAATAGTGAAAACTTCTGATCTGGTATAGTAATGAATATGTTGTGCTAATAGAATTATATGTTTATTCTTAATAGATATCCGGACATGATAGTTCTAGAAGTGAGGCGGGAGATGAAAGGTCCGCTGAAAGTAGTAATTCACCTGTCCTGGCTAGGCAAGGTGAAGAACATGCATCTTCTGGAGTGCCTGTAGCTGATCAATATGTGTTATTTAGAACGTTAGATGCGGTATTAACGCGTTTCTAACCTCTTGCTCCATCAACTCCCAGAGTAAATATAGCAAAGGAGTTGAGAGAATTAGGAGCTCCCGAATTTAAGGGAGAAGTCGATGAAGGTCTGGTTGCAGTGGATCTTTGGTTAAATGATTTGAAAATCATGTTGGATGGTCTCCACTGGTCTGATGTGGGGAAGTTGGATAGAACTGTGTCTTTACTTAGAGGAAAAACTAGAATATGGTGGATGAATGTCACCATGAGGATATCAAGTGATCAAGTAACTTGGTCTCTATTCTTGGAAGAGTTTAAACACAAGTATATTGGAGATCAATTCATCAAGCAAATGAAGCAGGAGTTTATGAATTTGAAACAGATGAATCGCTCCGTATATGAATATGAATGTGAATTTAATAAGTTGAGTCGATTTGCAGCTAAGCTTGTTACTACAGAGAAAGACGCTTGTGAATGGTTTGTGGAGGGCTTATGCCCTATATTGAAAGAGATGTTGATAGTACTGAACTTGTCCTCATTCCAAGAGGTGATTAATCGTGCTAAAGACCTTGAGAGAGCTCATAATAAAAGATTTGGGGACTCAAGAGTTCATACATCTAAGAGGACTGGTGCTTCTTCAAGCACAACACCACCTAAAAGAGGAAGA